AGGCCGCACACGTCTTTGTCCACTCGGCAAAAATTGATGGATATTGGTTGGAAATTGATGTTACACCTACCATATAGCCCTGATCTCGCGCCATCGGATTACCACTTATTTCGATCCCTGGACAACTCCCTTCGTGGTAAAACTTTTAATGACGATGACGCTGTAAAATCTCACTTAACTCAGTTTTTGGCCGAAAAGGATCAGACTTTCTACGAGCGTGGAATTTTCAAGTTGTCAGAGAGATGGCGAAAGGTCGTCGAGCAAAATGGAAAATACATTACAGATTAAACTTCGTTCCAAGTAAAAAAAAATTTTTTATTTCATTGAACAAATCGGCAATTACTTAGTTGCCAATCCAATATTTTCCCTAAATTTCGGTGTGCGTGTCTTATCTACTGCATAAGATAATGCACCGCAGGTACAAGATTTAATTGACGTTATTTCTACCGACCGTGCCAAAACACAAATTAAAATCATTTCTCTTTAACAGTATCTTTTACCGAAGGTTATGTCAAGGACATGTTTTGATAATTTTTTGTAAAAATTGTTACCTATATTCGATGCGTTCTGCATAAGCACTTTCCGATGGTTGCTGTAGCCATTTGTATGAAAAGATAAATAAATAAATAAATAAATAAATAAAAGATAAATAAATAAAATAAAATAAATTGTACGATAAAAGATATTGGTAATAATAGTGTTAAAAGATGTAGTTTGTTCGGGTGCAATTTCAGTTATGTAATTCTAAATCTATCAGAGGGGGGGGGGGGCATAAAGAAAATTAGTTCCCTACAATTTCAGTATATATTTTTGATAAAATATATCCTATTACCTTTTGATCGCAATCGTAAAAAGGTAATGTCACAACGTAAATTCTGTAAATTGCATAAAACTGTGCGTCACTGTGTTCTATAATCTACTCTAGTTAACATGTGCCAATTTTTGTATATTGATTTAGTTACCGAGAGTCAATTTCAGTATATTAATCTAGTTATTGTGTGGCAATTTCTGTGCATATTAACCTAGTTATTGTGTGTCAATTTCTGTTCACTGATCTAATTACTGTGATCGGTTCTAAGTAAATAATCCTATATACAAAATTTAAAAGTATGAAATATTCTGTACTAATTAATTTTTTCACAATTTATTATGTATGTTTGTTATGTACTTACCATATGTTTTGGAAAATAAGGGTACATTTTAACGTGTAAAGCGTGCACTCTTCCCGCCGACTATGAAAATAAGGTTAGGTGTAACACGTGAGGTATGCCACGAAAGGACTCGGTAATCAACGCACGCGTCGAAGAACGCATGGAAACTCGATATAATTATTCTGCGCAGTAAAATAGAAACAAGACGTAAATTTGTTTCAGTTACTAAATTATTTTAGATAAAGAAATATGTATAATAAGTCGATTACATTATTACTTTTCTGCAATTTGGACGAGTATTTGAATTTTACAAAATTTCATTTAGTTAGTGTAAATTTTTGTTGATTTATACGTCATTGAATAACTTTATATTCATTTTCGATTTTAAATACATATTCGATGGGACACAGTTGGTATCATTGTGTGGAGAAAAGTCTTAACTTTAATGTACTGATTAGATCAAATACGAAACACTAAAAACATTAATCAGAATTTTTAAATACTATTTTATTATTCCCAACTCATACAAATGAATAAAGAACGAAATCAATGCTCATGTAGTTCCTGTATCCTGTAATTAGAGCAAATCATTTTTAATCTGCATGAAAATCCGCACAGTCTAGTTAGAATTATTGGCGTCACTGTACGTTGCAAGAGTTTCGCATGAAAATGTCTGAAATAATGAAAAATGTATAAAATATATAAATCAAAATATAAAATATATATATCAAAATAATGAAGAATGTAGTAGAATATAATATAAATAAACGTAGCACATCTCTTTCTCTCTCGGAATACACTAAAGCGTCTCAGCTGTCCGCAAAAGAAATTCAACCAATAACGTTCGATCACACTCTCGAAATTAGAATGAAATTCGATCGCTGTTCGCGTGCCGTCGCAGAGCACGTCGCAAATACAAACAAATATGTCCTTTGCGACAACGCTCGACGATCCAGCGGATCTTTTGAATTACGCGATCCTACACAAGTTTATTCAAAATTCGTTTATATTGTATATTGAATATGTATCCTTCTTTATGTAATATTTGTATTTTATAACTACATTGTTATTTATAAATGTTATTGAATACATAAATTCCTTTATATTGTATATTGAATACGTATCCTTCTTTATGTAATATTTGTATTTTATAACTCTACATTGTTATTTATAAATCTTATTGAATACATAAATTGTTGTTAAATTGTTGTTCATTTGTTCTTGATTAATTTTAAATTGCTTATTAATTTGTCGTTAATTCGCTGTTAATTCTTCCTCAATTAGTTTTCAATTGCTTGCTAATTTGTTGTTAAATTGTACTTAATTTGCTCTTAACTAGTTTTTAATCGCTTGTTTATTCGTTGTTAAATTGTTCTTAACTTTTTCTTAATTAATTTTAAATTGCTTATTAATTTGTCGTTAATTCGCTGTTAATTTCTCCTCAATTAGTTTTCAATTGCTTGCTAATTTGTTGTTAAATTGTACTTAATTTGCCCTTAACTAGTTTTTAATCGCTTGTTTATTCGTTGTTAAATTATTCTTAACTTTTTCTTAATTAATTTTTAATTGCCTGTCAATTCGTTGTCAAATCATTGTTAATTTGTTCTCAATTAGTTATCAATTACTCTGCACTAATTTTAAATTATTATTTGCGGCGGTTGTAATTATTGCATCGCTTAATGGTGGTAAATTGATTTTCAAACATCTATATTCAACTGTCGCATTCTGTAATTACGTAGTTAGAAAATAAATTTGACTATTTATTTACCTATTACATAAAAAATTCCGATCAGAAATATATGTTCTCAGTCCGAAAATGTTTTCGACCGCTTTTGGGGTGCTTCTTGCTCCGCCGTGCGATGCAGCCATATCGAGCCAGCACTCGTAATCGGTGGTTCGGGGCTGTGAACCACCCCTCGTCGACTGAAACTGACAAGGAGGATGTATCGGCTCGTAATGTTGCCGGTGTCCGCTCGAGGACCGACTCCGATCTCTTTATGTACCGGAATGCGGTCGAAAATATCTGTTGTACCACGTGTCTACGGTGTTTTTTTTTTTTAAGTATATTAGTTTGCAGTTGGATTCTCTTGGCTATTCTATGGAAAATACGTCGGTGAAGAAAACAATTGGATACCTTTGGATACCTTTAGATTGCCGACATGACGCCATATGGAGTCATTGATATTCTACGGTACTTTGGAGAACGGGTAATTTTCTCCTCCATCTGACTCGTGACACGCGAGAAAAATTATTTAGCAAGAAAAATTATTTCCGGCGTTGTCTACGCCATCTAACAACATGTCAGGTCTGCCTAAATAGTTCTCAAAAATTGGGCCAAATGAAATAGAACTAGTTGTTCTCCGAATGGTACAATGTTCAGTTTATACATACAACTATCGAACTATCCAACGTTACAATCGTTCCAGATTCAAATTTATCAATATTCCAATGATCCCATGTTGGAATTATTCAATGTTCCAATGATCCAATGTTGCGATGATTCAATGTTATAGTGATCCAATATTACAATTGCCCAATGGATTAATTATTCAGTACTCCAATAATCGAAATTCGCATGTTCTAACAGTCTAATGATCCAAACATCGAATGCACCAACGTTGCAATTATCCAATGTTCCATTTATTCAATATTCCAATGAAACAATTATCCAATTACCCAATAGTGCAGTTATTCAATATTCCAATAATTGAATGTTTTAACACATAAACGTCCAAACATCGAATAATCTAATGTTGTAATTATGCAATTTCCTGTCTATTCAGTTTTCCAATATTCTAATGGACCAATGTTGCAATTATTCAAAGTTCCAATTATCCAATATTCGAACGATTTAATGTGACAACTATAAAATGTTACAATTATTTAATATCCCAATGCTTCAATGTTACAATTATCCAATGTCTCGATTATCCAGTTTTTTAATTATCCAACGTTCCAATAATACAATATTCCACTGATTCAACGATCCAATGTTCCAATGTCCGAATCATGCGATGTTCCAACGCTGAATCTCTTGACCTAACCTCTCACTTTTGATCCCCATCACTTGGCAGCCTCATTCCGTAGCAATCCTCGCCACATTCGCTGACGAATCAAATGAACAATTTACATATTTCAACGAACCTTACCTTCGTTAAAATTTCCAAAATTTTCCCGCCATCCTGAGACCTACCTAGTGCCAAGTTATGGCACAAACAAAGATGCTCTACGGTAGTGAAAATCGCTTTTGAAAGTTATAGTAAACACCTAGTATCAAAAAATCCTGATACATTTTTTCACAATGCACGAGATATTTTGATTGAAATATCTAAATATCTTAAAGATATTTTATTTAATAATCCATTTGATATAGTCCTCGCGCGACAAGCAAGCACCTTTGCATTTACATCCCCCCTCCCACTAGCTGCCCCACTGCTATTGGCCGACGGCGATCTTCGTCACAGTCCTTGGCCAACAGCGACCGATAGCCGCGGCAGCGGGGCAGTCAGTAAGAGGGGGGACGTAAACGCAGAGGTGCCTCCTTGTCTCGCGCGAGGGCTATAGCAAATGAATTATTTAATACTCTTCAGCAGTACAAGGTTGTTCGTTGTTTTAGCGGAGCTTCGGTTTTTTATACCGAAAATGTATGCATTTTGTTTTGCAATTAATATTGACGTCAAATCGGATCAACATTAAATGCAATAAATAATGCATAACGCATAAATTATTAATTATCGCAAATGAATAAATATTGTATTATATTGCGATATGAACATAAATAAGTAAAATATTTTTTCATTTCAAAGTTGTATTAAAAAATGAAAATATAGTAACAAATGCGAAGATTCGAGCCTACTTTCTATAGCACTCTAGTCAACAGTCCTATCGACTTACCCACAACTTTGTCCTGCCGTAGAGCGTCAAACAATTCATTTACTAGGCGCGTACAAAACTTGAAATCAAAATATCACGAAAACGATGGCCCATTCTGAAAAAACTATTAGTATCAGAAAGTCTTTATATAGAAAAAAGTATGACGGTTTCTTGACGCTAGATATGTACCCACAAACCCGTGCCTGCACCGTTTCAAAAAGCGATCCTCTAGTACCGTAGGGTCCCCTTGTAAGAAAATCTGCTTCGGCCAACATCCGGCGATTTCGGCTGGTCCCAACGATCCGAGCTATCGCCCGAAGCTGTTGTTCTCGGATTTTTCTCGGAGCCGGTTACCCCGACGCGACGTCCTCGGGACATTTCACGTCGGATCGGCGAGTCTCTTTCGATTCGGTTCGCCGTGGGGGAGGAGAGCAGGTCGGTGGTCACGTGAGCCAGACACGTCTGTAACGATGCCTCGGCCCCATTAAGAGGAATCAACGCGTACGTATCGCGAGGCTGTGGCCAGATAATCTCCGCTTACGCTCCGCTCGAAAAGCTTCTCCCATCTGCGAACTGCATATTCCCATTTAGCGCTATGATCCATCGTTAGAAGCAGCTCCCGGGCACCGCTGAATTAGCGAAATCCTCTCGAATCGGGGCAGCCTGAGAGGTCCCCGGGCCCCTTAGACCTCCATTAGTATACATAATAATAAACAACAATCGCACGGTTACAGCCGAAATTAGGATCCTCTTAGCGTTGGAGCTCCCGCTTCTCTCGCTCCTGGCTTCTGGCCGGGAATAGTGGACAGTATCCCGGGCGGCGGACGTTTCGCTCCGGCCACTGTATTCCCTGGGAACGTCTAAAAGCCACCGGAGTTCTTATTATTCTTCCTTTCTTTTCGCCGCCGGTCCGGCGAGAGTGCTCAAGCTTCTCGCGCCGAGATGCTGAAAGCTCCGCGGCGATATCGCCGCCGCGACCACCATCGGTAGAAATTACTTTCGTTTGGCTATCCGCAGGGATAAACAGATCCCCGCCCGCGTCGCTGGATAATTAATCGCGGATCCCTGCGGGAAATGGAATCAACTCGGCGAACTCAGCCTTTACGCGGGCATTTCTTCGACCTGGACCGCGCGCGGCTGTCCTGTCGTCGTCGGCGAGTTGATGTTTCGGTCGCCGATGCGTGGACGTCTCTCGTTGGCGAATCTGGTGAAACTTTTAAGACACGACGCGGATGTTACGTGGATTTTATCGGTGACTATTGTTTACAAGAATTGCGGAGAAGAGTGGATTGTAAAGAAATTTATCCCGTTCGTATTATCTCGTTATGATATAGACGATATTAAACAAATTTTTATTTTGTTAATATTGCCAAAATATCTTGGCGAATTGTAGGTTGATGGCTAAAGAACAATTAAATAAATAATAATAATAAAAAAATAATAGTTTTTTTGTTTTTATAGCGGGAGAAAATCTTCAACAAGATACCCGAAATAAATAAAATAAATAATAATAATAAAAATAATAGAAAATAATAATATTAATAATAATGAAATAATAATAAAAATAATAATAATAACAAAATAATGACAGATGTAACATAGTACTGAGCCAAACCAAACGTAAAACAGATCTAACTTACAGATCTAAACTATGGCAAATCTAACCTAATGCTGGCATAACCTAGTCGGTACCTAACCTAACTTATATTATGGGAAACTGTCATGGATACTTTGAACGCATCGATGATAGTAGACTGGATACCTAATATAAACTTAACCCAGATCAAAAACAGACATAATAAAGAGCTAACTCAAATCTAACGTAATCCAGACTCAGTCCAAGCTAAAATTACGTCGAACCTAACCTAAAGCGGACCTGGACCAGGCCAAAACTACGTTAAATCTAATCTAAAGCAAGTCAAACCTAATTCAGACTTAATCCAGGGCAATACCACGTCAAACTTAACCTAATCCAGACCCAGACTAGGCCAAAGATACGTCAAAATTAACCTAAAGCAGACCAAATCAACTTCATACGTAACCTGTTTTATGTGATGGAAAATCATCTGGTAATATTGGAATATTAGAATAATATTATATATTATTATATATAATATATATATATAATATAAATATATTATATATATTAATATTATATATTATATAATATATATATATAATATAAATATATTATATATATTAATATTATATATTATATTATAATATTATATAATATAAATATATTATATATATTAATATTATATATTATATTATAATATTATATAATATTACAATAATAGAACAGGAACATTGGATAATTGGAATGTTTGAATAGAATGTTGAATAATTGGAACATTGGATACGTGCAAAATTCGATCTTCAGAATATTGGATAATTGGAACATTGCAACAATGGAACATTAAATGATTAGGGAACGGATAATCGGGACATTGGATAATTACAACATTGGAGCATTCGATGCTTGGATCATTAGATCAGTAGACCATGGAAAGTTCAATTATTCCAATATTGAGTAATTGCAACAATGGGTAAT